AATGAAAATTAAAAATGGATTTGTTGAGTTTTGCGGAGGAAAAATGAGAAATTATTTGAGAATATTTCGTGAAGAATCTTTTTGACTTTGTATCTTCTTTGATTATTGTTTTTTTTTTTAGAAAGATATTCAAAATATTCGTTGGTAAATATAATTTTATCATATCGTGTAAATGTTTATTGCAAAACGAGGGAAATAAAATTAGAAAGTCGAGAAGAGTTGTTTTTATTATTCGTAAAAGTCTGCAATTGAAATTCGAAAAAGCAGTCAAGTGCAGGCAAGGGCTTGTCAACCAAGATACTTTTCCATTTCCTCAAGAACGATAGTTTGAACGGTTTTCTTTGCCTGTTGGATTTTCGTGACGCGGTTCATTCGAAATTGTCGAAAAATTGATGACAATTTTTCTCGATTTTATTATTTTTAAACAATTAATTACATTTTAAGAATTCAAAACAAGAATAATATAAACTCTTCGATTATTCATAAGCTTCGAAATATCGATACAAATGAATGAAATTTCCAAAGGAATGATACTTTCAACGAACAAAAGTTAATTTAATTAATCTCAATTTAAAATACCAATAAATAAATTCCTATACAAATAGATATTTATTTCTTACTGACAAAAATAAAAGTTTATCCTCTACTCGAATGAAAACTTGGTTTTATTTTCTAACTAGGAAAAAGAGAAGATCAATAGGAGTTATTTAAATATTTTTGAAAAAGAATCGTCGTAAATAATCAGAGGCAGCAACAAAATTATATGAAAGATGGAAGCGTTGGTCTACATATATTCCACATTTTCATCGCTCTTTTGTCCTCACGTCGGTTTCTGAACCATTTCCTCTCTTGTTTTCGACTTCTGGCCAAACACGGTTCAACGGAGAACCGATTTACATTTTGATTTAATTTATTCCATCGTAAACTCATACTGTTCGCCCCACACGTGTACGTGTATACACGCACGCGCGCGCTCTTATCACACCAACAAGGCATCCACCCTTTTTGCGGTGAAATTAAAAACGTTTACCTAGTCGAAATTGAAAGCTTTCGTTCCGAAGAATACACACGGGCGAAGTTTGTGTACGCTTTTGTGTATGAGAGGAATAGACGATAAACTAATAAAATGAATTTGAGTAAAGATTTTGAAATACTACTGAAACTTCGATTTTATGGAATTTTTATAGTGAGAATGTAAGGAAAATTGGATGAAATATTCTTTTTACCGATCTAGCAATTGATGAAATTAATGTTTCGATCACTTTCTATTCTTTTGAACACAATTTTATAACGATGCAAAATTTTAAAATTGTAGAAAAATATTGCCATGAGAAAATTATATTCAAAAGACGAAGCAAGGGATAAATTTCATCCCCTCGAAGAAAATTTCTGTTCAAAAAATAATCAATCCATTTTTAAACTATTATTTTCTCTCATATATAGGAATTTTTATTTCGATTATTAAATGAATTTCTGGATAAGATAATATTCAAATAAAATATAGAAAGTTATTTTAAAGTTATTATACAAAATGTATAAATATATATCCGACTATTATTGTTATATCCTTGATAAAATGAATAATAAATGTGCAAATAAAACGTTGAATTCGATTAATGAATAAAGAAATAAAGAATAAGGAATAAACAAATATTATAGATGAAGATAAAAAAGGAATAAAATTTCATTATACTTTTTTAAATGAAAGTTTGAAGTATAAAAATAAGTATATTCCCACGGGAATGTACTTTTTAGGAGAATTTTGCGCGAAACAATTCATCCACGTCAAATGAATGTCAAGTTGTGTCATGTTAATACGCGCAAATGTGTAAATTTAATTTTCACGAGTTACAAATACGTGGCGCACTAAATTAACCATTATGACATCGCATCGCAAGCTTCTAACGCAAACTACACGAAAATTCGTTATCATTTTCGTTTACCTGTAATATATATATATATATAATATCTGTCACATTCAATTAATTTCTGTTGATTAAGATTGTTTATCGAAAAATATTACCCATTACAAATTTAAACATTTCTACGTGTTTGATCTATCCTCAAATATTCCTATTCAGAAATATTTATATTCTATATTCGTTTCGATCGATTTCCTTTGATAAAATAAACGAAACGAAGATTCGAAAATTATAGAATTATTATTATATATTAATTATTATTATTATTATTATAATATTATATTATATTATTATTATTATATATTAGAAAATTTTAAACCTACATTCAATTATGGAAGGAAAATTTTGAATTTTATTACTCGATCGAACAACGAACGTAATTCGTACATTTTCCATTTCTTTTTGATAAAATTATCAGCAAAATAAAATAGAAAATCATCGACACTATTCACAAATTTACTTTTCTAAATCTTTCAATCCAAATACTGAAATTGGAAGATGATTTCCTTTCCAAAAAATAAACTGATTTTTTTCAATCGAAGAACCAAATTTGCAAATATTTATTACATTTATTACATAAAATAAAAAGAACATAAATTTCAATTCTCATATCCCGTATTCCCAACTTAAATCGTATTCATCTTATTATTCGAACCAATCGAAATAATTCAAATAATTAATTGATTCTGCTATTATTATATTACGTTTATTTCACGGGACAGATACACGATATTATACGAGATATTATCTCGTCACGATATAATATCTCTTCGTACACGTTCTCTTGAGTATCTATGAAACGTGATTTACGTTATTTAAGGGCGGCGTCAAATCATGGACCGTCAAAAGGAGAAGGGGAGCGATGAAAGACGAGAGACGTTTCTACCTTGGCTGGCCCGAAAGCCAACGAGGAAAAGCAATTCCGTACGAGATCTTAAAAGCACGGCGAGATTTCCACGGCGAGGGGAGTTTCTTTGGGCACGGTCCAACTTCCGGCGAAAAATTAATAATGAAATACTATTGGATACGGTCAGGGTCGAGGCACTCTGGGAAAACTTCTCGGCTCGATTTAATAAATGATGACCATTTTTAGCCAGATTCGCGCCACGTAGTTCCGTTCTGTCTCTTCCCGCGATTCATCTTCCGCTCCAGGTAGCGCGCTTCCTGTTACGTATTTTTATCAAGGAGAGAAAAGATTTCTACCGAAGTTGTTTCATAAATTTGAATCTTTTCCTTTCCATTTCTTCTCTTCTCCCTCCTTTGTTTCAATAAAGTAAAATCGTCGTGAAAATTTGAAAGAGAAAAGAAAAGGAGGGAAGGTTTAATTCGCGAGAGAACGATTTTAAAGATTTAAGTAAATTAAGTGATGATCGAAATCAATGAAAGCTGGGGGATCAGATTTTCGCGTCTTTCCAGATCTCGTCGATATACATCGAAGCGATACACAATGAAGACATTGTCTGTAATCGTAAATGCTCGTGAATGCAACGTTTGAATCGTGAATTCAAGCCTCGATGCAATCTCACGAGCAGCGAACCGTGTATTTTCTCCGACTAATCTGATCATTTCGTCACTATCAGTTTCCATTGTATATTCTCGAATATTATCACTGGAAACTAGCATAGCATAGTATTCCAGTGGATAGTTGATGTTTGATGTAAAACGTACTTATCGTCTTCTACTTTAATTGGTATTCTAATGTTCGTCTGGAATCGAACTTTAAATTCGTAAAATTTATTTTTTTTATCTTATATAAAATATTTCATCATTATTTGTAGAAATTTTAAATATTTAAACAGTATGAATCATTTAAATTAATTGAAAAGTACTTTTTTAGAATAAATAATATTAATTTGTGTGAAAGTTAACACTTAAATATTGAAATATTTTTATGAAATTAATATTTTATTAAATTAATCAAATTTCTGCATTGAATGCACAAATATTGATGCACTATAAATAAATATATATATATAATAAAAATTTAAATTAGTTCAATTTGAATATAAAGTGCATCAAGACTTTTATGATCAATTATATGTAACAATTTGATATTTTTTAATCCATACACTTTGCAAGAAGACAAGCAGCATTTCTCGAAGAGAGATTAGAGGAGGAAAAAATACATTTATCTAGAGACATACACAATAGTCATTTCATTTTCTCTTCTTGGAGAGAAATCCTGTTAAGATAAGAGAGATCAAGGATCGGATTATTGCTCAAAGGAAACCGAACGATTTAATGGCATCGTCTGGGTTCTCATCATCTGGCTCCAGGTACCAAAGGTATCGTTTTTATCGACGTTTCGGGAAAATATGTCAAACCGATATTCCAAACTACGTAGAAACCGATGCTTTTAACTCTCGATTAATTTTTAAATTTATGTCAAGACACCGAGGAGGTTGCGATCGATCAACCCCGTGGTCGAAAGCTTTTATTCAACGTACTCTCTCTCTCTCTCTCTCTCTCTTTCTCTCGTATTTACGATTACCAGATCGTGAATTAATGAAAACACACGAATCTCATCATTTTATGCATTTCTTCCACTCGCTAAATCTGGATATAGATGTAATTAAATACGTGTGCAAATTACACGACGTGATATTCGTTCATTTACGAATTTCTAGAATGATATAATTATTATAATTGGATGAAAATGATTTTATAAATAAAATTAATGATACGATGAGAATATATATTTTTTTCTATTATTTTCAATTTCAAATAAAAATGCGTATCTCTTATTATAATTTTTATAGCAACAATTCCTTTATAGAATAAAATTTTTGATAGAAATTATTTAAATAATTAATTATGAAATATTCGTTCTACCAGTGTATATGATTGTTATCTAGAAAGGATAAAAAATAATTGAACAAAAATAGTAATTTCCTCGCGATACTATTATATTATAGTTTTATACTATTATACTATAGTTTTCTATAATTGTACTTCAATGTGATACCACGCATATCACATTTTGCAAATTAAATTAAAAAGAAAAATCAATATCCAATTATATAATATAATTATATAATATAATATAATAATAAATTGGTAAACGAGTTAGTTACTCACCCTGCAAAAGCTGGTGATGGAGGATATCTGAAATAAAAAACAGAAAGGATTGATTAATTTGTTGGAATCCAATAGCACAAAGATAAATACATGATCGATTCAATCGTTTATCTTATGCCACATTCTAATATTATGAAGTTAAAGTATCTCTTAAACTATTGATTTTCTTGTTGTACAAATTGATTTTGAATTTATTATGAATTTAACGAGAAATGCATTTCTTGTATAAATTTACTCTTTTTGCAATTCGTTTTTACGTTTTGAAATAATGGAATTAAATTCAATACGTCAGCTATAACGATTATTTAAATATGGCGAATAAATTGATCAAAAGAAAATTAATGAAAAATTAACGATTGTTAATAGAGGATAATAAGTTAAGCTAGATAATCGGGAATAATCGAGATCTTAAATAGTCATAATTAATCGATCGAGGTTCCATTATTAATTCACCGTTATATTTATCAAAGATTAAAATATTCGTGGAATATCTTTAAAGAGTCGATTCTAGAATCCAAAATAAATGCATTTCCATCTTCATAGTTAGCTCGTTCTATCTTCAACTCTCTTCACCTAATACAAACTTAACTTAATAATTAAACCTCGATCAACATTTTTCACCAAGTTCTATTTTTCTTTTAGAATCAATTTTTCTAAATGTGTCCAACGAATATATAAATATCAATATTTACAATTATTATATATTTATATGAATTTCAATTCAGATTTTAATATTCGTTCAACAATTTTGCAACATCTTTTTTATTTCGATTCGACAAAAAAGGGAGTATTGAAATTCAAAGGTCATTCTCTTGCAGACGCATCGACGAAGATAGCTTTCGAGAATCCGATCGTGGGAAGCTACGAAAAAGTTTCGTGATTATCATAAGAAGTTTTGCGATGTTGGAACGGTTCTCGAAAGAGAGAGAGAGAGAGAGAGAGAGAGAAAAAACGGAGAGACATTTTACGTATTCCTCGACATTGCGATGGCCGAACTTCTGTGTACATCGGAATTAGATACCCAGGCTGAGTTGTCTTCGAGCTTCCACATCGTGCTTTCTGTTAATGGCCGCGCTTTTTTACATTCACCGCAATTCCCTGTTTTGTAACTTTCGTCCATGATTTCCGGACGGAAGGTGGGATGGGGGAAAATGGAGGGCGGCTTCAAAATTGTTCCGTCTCTTTGGTTCAACTGGAATTTTTTTATCGTTCGAAAAATATAAAATTGATAAAAATATGGGGTGATGTATCGATAACGGAATAATTTTTGGTCGATTTAACGTGGCAAATATTTTTGTGATTTGGGATAGGAGAAAGATATTTATATTGTTAAATGATAATTTAAAGAATTTATTTGTTTTTGTTTTTTAATTCGAAGTTGGGATTTTTAAAAAGAAATAATTCGTTTAATTCGATTGTTTAATTCGTTTTGATTAGTATAATTTGAAAGTATTTATATTATTATAATAAAAATATTTAAATTATTATATTTATTGATAGTACTTTCATGTATCAGATATAAAAATATGATAGTAAAAAATAAAATATAATAAAAAAATACTTCAAAATATATAATATATTACGATAGGACGTATTTATCTTTTATAATAAAAATAAAAATATTTAAAATAATTGATATATTTTCATGAAATCGCTGTTTAATATTCTTTCAAATATCTCGAATAATTTTCTTTATTTTTTTCTTAATTTTCCATGATATAGAAATTTATTGATTGAAAAATAAAAATTAATGAATGAAATATATATATTCATAAAAATAGCTTTTAAAGAATTGTGACAAAAAAATAATATAATTTACATATTGATCTTAATAAATTGGTACTACTACTCGTTGACCCAATTTTCGTATAATAACGTTTCCTCTTGAAACGAATTGTCCTCGTTTCAGCACAAAATCTTTTTCTTTTGCAATTGTAAAAAATAAGGAACATTGAGCCAATTCGTTGAATATTAATGTAAGAAGTAAAATTTATTAGATTAAATATAAAAAAAAAATTTGGTTAATATTGACCAATTTTTTCTGCGATAAATTAAAAGAAAAACAGTGTAAAAACACGAAGTAGTAACAATAACTAAATAATACTCTTCTACTCGGTTTCTTTTTTCTTTTGTTTTATTTTAATGTTTTATTTTAAATGTTTTATTTTATTGCTAGAGTGACTTTATTCTAAATTTAAAAAAAGTGGAAAATTTTGTTTTATTCTTTTTATTAGCACACTTTTAGTCACTTAGTTTTCTAGTTTAAATTTACAAATTTTAAGTTTTTTTCCTTTTTTCTTGCAATTTTTTCTACGACAAAAGAGTTCTATTTTCACAAATATATTTCGTCCTTCTATCTTTGTATCTTGAATTTATTCGTTCGAATTTATGCTATTGCTGTAAGAAAATAAATGTTATCAAAAAAGAAAAAAGAAACTTAAAAAGAGAAATAGATATATCTTTCCAACTTTATTTACAATCCTGTATATCGGATATTTATCTTATATCAGATAATCGAAGACTAGAACATAAATAAAAAGATATACATACAAAGATTAAAATATTCAAGAATATATCATCCCTCTTTAATCAAAATGTCACGATGTATAACAATGCATAATTGTTTTTTGAATATTCATCAAATTGTTTCAATTTTATCATTTCTTTGTTGTCTTTTAAGAATAAATAAAATAAACCATTAACACATAATTTTTAATCCAAATAATTAGAAAGTTAATCAAACAGAAAAATCATTGCCAATATCAACAAATGTCAATTATTGCATATTAAAATTTTAATTTTTTAAAAGAAAAAGAAATTAATTATACATCTCACTGATTTATTGTTAACGCGAGAAATTTTCGAGATAAAAAAAATTTCAGCTTCGAGCAACTTATGTGATTTTCTTACACATATACATCGGATAGAGTTTGATATGGCGTAACACTAACATCACGATAAGATATTGTCGACTCTCGACTTGGCAACCCCATTGTTCACCCCTGATCGGTTATCCGCTTCGCTGGTTTGCGATTAAATTCGCTGATGAAGTCGCTGCGATGAAGTTCGATCAAATTCATTACGTTTTGGCAAGGGGATTTTCGTTAAAATGTGGAATTCTAGGAATACAAGAGAAATTTTCACTGGGAAGTTTTAATAAGGTTCTGTCTTTACTTTTATTCTCTTCGGGAAAATGAAGTTGATATAATATTATGTTATATGATCGATGATTCAATTATATTTAAGTAATAAATTCTGTTGAAATAGAATTGTACTTTTTTCTTTTATAAATTGAATATTGTATATGCAATCGTATTGTTTTTTTTATATATATATATATTAATTGTAACAAATTATAACTCAAATAAATTATGATAAATAGAAATCAGAAGATAATTTAAATAAATGAATAATTAAAATTGTTTTTTTTTTATCATACGTGAATTTGTAAGAACTATTCGTTACATTTCAGATATTTTTAGCACATTTGGATTCTAGATATACGTGATAATGTATGTGATGTTTGACATTAATTGATCAAATATCATTACCTGATATGAATATCGGTAATCGTATACTAATTTCGTTGATTTATTACATTTACAAACATTATAGCATAACGTAATTGTATATTCATCAATATTTTATCGTTATATGTAATTAATCATTATGATACACATGCAATAGTAAATTACAGCTTATGTACAAAGACATATAGTTAGTTTAATTATATCAGATGATAATTCGCGATTTCAATAAGAGATTAAAGTCAGATTTTCCTGTTAATATTCTTTAATTAGATTATTTCAATATATATCTAACTAATACATTTTTAATTTAATAGATATTTTATAAGAAACACAAAGAGATTTAATTTTAATTCTCGTTAAATTAAACATTAATTGAAGAATTAATATTTTACAAGAAAAATTATATTTTACAAAAAAAATAAAAGAAAAATTCAAGTAATCAGAATTATTATTCCAAATAAAACTATTTCCTTAAAATACAATCATATTAACCTTAAATACCAATACCTTCATAATCCAAAAATCCTCAATTTCTAACAAATTTCTCGTCACTCAATAAAAAAAAAAAAAAAGAAAAGAAAACTTCGTTCAAAATCAATCTTGAGATCATCTCATATTCTTCCATTCCCAAAAAATATCCTTTGATACTCAAGTTACAAGTTAAAGCCTCGCCATGAGAAAGATTGTGCCATCTCTCGCGTGTCCAAGCGAATATGGTTCCATCGTGAATGCCAATCTCCATTCGCCTGTTTCTCTCTCTCTCTCTCTCTCTCTCTCCGTTTCTCCCGCCACCTTCTTTACATCGAAGGAAAAGCGCGGCGACC